TGTATCTGGGTAGAACCGGATTTGATGATTCTGGTAGCGAATTTCAGTATTAGCTCTTGATGCTAGAGCAATAAGCTGCTTATCCTTGTAGCTGAGAAATCTTATTATTAAAGTGCGAGGCGTTGCGGTGTTGTCTCTCCGGGCTCCAAGTCGATGCGCTCTTTCCACGGCCACAGCTCCAACACCGAGGGTCTCCGGCAACCACTTCTCTAGGAACTCACATGGATTCTGCCCTTCTGCTCCCTCCGGCAGTCCGATAAGCCTTAGGTTGTTTTGTCTCGATCTAGCCTCCAGATCCGTAACTTTATCTTCCAAGTCCTTCTTCTTAGACTCTAACGCATCCACCTTAGTTCGTAGCGTTTCTATCTCACTTTCCGCATCAGAAATACGTGTTTCGGTTTCTGTGATTCGTTGTGTACAGTCGTTTATCTCTTTTCTTACGCTGTCGATGGAGCCCAGAACTTCGTCGAATCTAGAGGAGAAATCTTTCTGAATCGAAATAACAACAGAAAGTATTTCGTCCACCTTGCTGCTTTGAGACTTCGGGTTCTCTTCTCTGTCTGCGGCAGCCATCAGAGCCGAGCAGGAGCCAGCATTAGCTTTCTGCATTTCACCTCGAAGATGGTATTCTGTTAGCTTATGTTGTTTCGCCTTTTCACTTACGTCTTGGGATGTTTTTGCTGCTTTAGGCATTATTCCGAACTCGCGCGTTCATTTGTCAGTTAGTTCGTTCTGAAAGGAGGAGTTTTAGATAAATTCTTTGACTGGAACAGCAGAGCGGTAAAGGCACGTCCTTTCAAATGGCCGCCATAACCGGAAGTCCCAAATCTCTTTTTTACATTGCAAATAAATATCTAAATTAAATTTTTATTAAATTAAGTGCATTTTTTCTTGAATTGAGCAGGTGAGAGGCTTTGCCAATGAAAAAAAGACAATTTAAAATAAGAAGAAAACACCCCATGTCTCTTATTTTAAGTGTGTAATATCTAATTATCTTATTTGCATAGGCAGATCACCTTATTACCAAATCAAATTAAGGGTGAAAACAGTAAATTTAAGACATTTTCTACTCAGTTTTACATCCTTTCTGCGATGCAACATTTATAATTTATAATAATAATTGAACTTTATTGATCTCACACTCGAGAAATTCACCTCTGCATTTAACCCATCCCCTCGGGGAGCAGTGGGCTGCCATTGTATGGCGCCCAGGGAGCAGTGTGGGATTAAGGGTCTTGCTCAGAGACCCAGAATGCAGGCTGTGGGGATCGTACCAGATACTTGCAGCCTGCTCTAATCACTAGGCCAATACTCCCTCTTCTGATGTCCACTAACTTTCCTGCTGCAGTCTTTTTCTGAGAGCTATAGGAAAACATGTTCTGACGTCACACTTCTTATCTTCTCAGTGATTTTTCTCAGCAAGAAGCCCAAGGAGAAAGAGCTGGACTCTAAGAGCCAACTGATTGACGGTATCAGCAGGTTGATCTGCACAGCGAAACACCAACACACCATGCTGAGAGGTAGGAATGAGGCTGCACTGCCATCTGCTGGTCATTTTAAGCAACAAAGTCTTTTGCATTAGCCTCACAACTCTTTGGTCGTTTTAGTCAACATCGATGGGGTGGAGTGGAACGACGTGAAGTTTTTCCAGCTCGCCGCCCAGTGGCCAACGCATGTCAAGCACTTCCCGGTGGGAATCTTTGGTTACACAAAGCCAGTGTGACCCCGCCAGGCCACCGTCCGGTCAAACACCAGACTCTCAGCTGCACTTGTCTTACCTAGAGGCCACAGAGAATTACACACAGAGCCAACAGGCCCGTTGGAAGGAAAAGTAAAGGCTTTCCTGTGGAAATCTTACTGACTTACAACCACATGTTCAGTATATTAAAAAAAAAATCTTGTCATCCGTTTGATGTTTTTGATGTTGTTGGGTGTTGCTGTTTTTATTTTCTTCTTTTTTTAAAACACTACAAAAAGAACAATTTTGTAAGATTTTGTGGATATTTTGAGGTTTTTTCGACAAATTGCCACATTTCAGTAACGGCAGCTGTGTTTGCACTTTGATTTTTGTTTAACATTCTATTATTTCTGTGAAATCCGACATTTATTGTTACTCTTTAGGCAAAGGAGGAGTGTGGTGGTGATGTGCAGTGGCGTGCGTGAGACTGTTACAGGCCGTGTTTTGTGTTTGTTGTTGAAAGTTGGAATTTTGCTGTGAATCTCGATGGAATTCTTCTCTTCTTACTCGTCCCTTTACTTTTATGGAAAACTTTTAGTAGGAAGGAGCGCAAAGTTCTTGTTGCCTTGTTGCTTTGAAGCACACTAAAGCAAATCAAGAGGGAAAAAAAAGAGACATTGGAAGGTAGCTATGATGAATGTAGCTATTATATTTCTAACATGCCGGCGTCAGCTCATCGTACTGAGAAGTGATGTTTCTGCGCCGGCGTACTTTTAGACATTACAGTAAAAACCACTTAGAAGGAGGCTTTTTAACTCTTCTCTTAGCTAAACGCCAAATTTAGTTGGATCCGATCGACTCATTTCAGGATGTAATAGATTCCATGTAATAATAATCACCCTGCGTTTGACTAGATGCACCGATTTAACCTGCAGTTATTTAGCCAACGCTGGACCGTGCCGTGATGTGCCAAAGCTGGTTTTACAGACTGTTCTCCAGAGCTTTTTTCTTCAGCCAAACCAGATGGTGTGATATTCAAAGCTGATACTGTGCATTCAATGCGTCTGTGGTCCCTGTGGAGATCAGTATTAATATTACTGAGTTTCTAATTTAGACTAACATAAGTGTTAACAGTCCATATTTGGTCAAATGTCAACATAGATGGATGCATGTCCTCACCATGCAGTTAATAGTTTTGGGGGGGTAGAGCTCAGCTGCGGCTGATTGGGGAAATGCTGCGAGGATCGAGGGTTTGGTGTGCAGTGAGAGAGATTTACACAGTGCCAATGTTTCACGCTCCTTGAACTTTTTCACATTTCATTACGTTACAGTTTTAAACTTCACCGTATTTTACTGGAAGTTGTCCAGGATTGCTCTGCGTTTAGCCCTCCATTTATCCTCTCATCACTTCTTTAAAGATGTGGATCCCAGAGCATAATGCTGCCACCACCTAGTCTGTCCAGTTTTAAGAATTTTTTTAGATGCTGATTACTATCTTGAGTTATTTAGCTGGCCATTCAGGAAAATGCTTCCATCAAATCTTTTAAACCTGCCTCGTCTTTGATAAAGAAAAGCATCTCAGAGTACAATGCAGCCACCACCGTGTGCAACAGTTGGTACGGTGCGTTTAGTTTTTAGCCACACATAGGGCATTCTATCCAGGCCATTAAGTTTATTTTGAGCCTCCTTATACATGATTAATTTTCCCCCTGCGGCAGGTTAAAGAGGACATTTCTGGAGCAGATTTTAGCTCCTCCAATAATTGTTAAGGAAGGGTTATTTTTTTAATCCTTTATAACAGAGTTTAACAAATGTTTAAAATATGAAATAAATTACTTTGTGGTTTGTAGCTGTAACGTGGCAAAATGTGAAAAAGCTGTAAAGCACTGTTAATTAGAGTGAGCTGACTGTAGGTTGGAGCGCTGCGCAGGAGATCAGTTGCTTTTTAAGATTTCTCTTTACAGAATGGAGTTGTGCCAGTTATGAGTCCGCTGCCTGTGTGTCTGCATTGGTGTGCTACTACGTCCGATGGTACTCCCTAAATAGTGTTACGTGAAACTTTTGCAATAGGAAAACCTTTTTTTTTTGGACAAAGGGCCTTCTGTTTGAGTTTGCTTTTTATAAAGACTAAAGCTTTGATAGACTGGCTTTCTTTTTTTTTTATTACTGTATATAAATATTTACAAGATATACTATTGTGAGCTACAAACCACCCCCTAACCTTCCACTAAAGTTAAAGCACAAATTGTGATTTTTTTTTTTTCTTGACATGAATGCCAAATATATTTCCAGAGCTCCTAACTATGAAGTCGACAATGCAAACACTGTTAGGTGTTACGCTGCGTTCCGTCCACTCAGTAATGGGAAACTGGACTTTTCTTTGAGGTGATGGCGTTCAAGTTTCCCCGCTTTGTGAGCTCTCGTACTCGTTTTATGTCACCACTACGACAAAAATGGTGTTCTATGCTGTTCTTAGTGCAAATAAAGAATAAGGAAAATATAAACTCCTATAAATGAGAGTAGCAGCCATTTTGAACCCATAAGACGAATTGAAATGTCCTATGAGGTGGTCAGAAATTCTGAGTAAACACGGAATGCAGCGTTATTTCGCATACATTTCCCTCACTTTGTGATGCACTTTCAAGTGGTTTTATACGCATAGTAACTCTAATTGGGACACACTTTAGCTTAAGTCTGAAGTGTTTCAGATGTTATATTTGAAAAGGAAACCACTACCTATATGTATAGTCAATAGAAGTTTTTTTTTTTTTTATATAGGGATTATATGTTGATGGGCTTTAGTTCCCTGATGTTTTGCCACTTAATTTCAACACGGCGTCTGTGTGTCTCTCCCTGTAACCTGCTTTTTAAATGAGTCAGTATTGTCTCTTGGTCAGGAAACCAGCTACTTCCTCGCAGGCTGAAGCCCCTTATACTTATAAGCAAATTATCTTATTTCAGTGTATTTAACCTCATTTTTTTCTCCCCTAATTCTAGAGGTAGCATTTGGGTGTTTTACAAGGCTGGATCAATGAGCAGGCATGTTCACTTTGTTACCATAACTTGGCAAAAGAAACTTAAACCATCAGTATTATGCTAAAAAAAAAATACAGGTCAGAATCTTATTCAGCCATGCCATCTCATTGCTCCTGTTACTTGAACTGCCACCCAGTGTCTTTGCACAGACCCTACTATAGATGACATGACAGTATTTTTAAATTTGCCACTAAAAATATGGGTTACTTTGCATGTTTTATTAGAGATGTAAATATGTTTTGGATTTTTATATATATTTTTTTTCTTTTCATGCTCTCACAGGCAGTTGTGTTTAATAAAATTTTTAATCTTCCGTACAGCAGCTTGTCTTTATTTGTTCTTCAGTCCAAACATAAATGGAGCCAATGTTAGTTAGCAGAGATGGAGGGCAGGTTGATGTAGCTCTTCATCGGAGGCAGCGGTTTGATCTTCCGTCCCGCCCAGCCTCCTTTCCTCTTCCACAAACCGCTGGATGGACGGATACCGAGCCAACGATTGCGGCCGGCTTTGCCGATGATGCGTTTGTTATGGTCTATGTTTGACACGCGACCGACCGTTACTATGCAGGTCTCCAACACCTGTGTGACACAAAGGGCAACGGTCAGTCCACAGCAGAGAAATGGCATCCAGAGATTTTCACAAGGAGAAATATTCTGACTCACCTGAACCTGCTGCTTTGAAGGAAGCTGAACGATTGCAGTCCCATTTACTTTACGCAGCAAAACGCCACTTGTTCCTGAAACCCAGGTGGAAAAGTTTAAATGAAACTGATAAGTTTGCATCAATGTTAATATTCTAGGTAGCACTGTCAGACCCTTACTGACCCTAACCTGTTAGTTACTTTCTAGAACATAATACTTCCCTATTTAACCGGTGGTCACTTTGAAGTTTTGAGAAATTTCTTAGAACCAGATGGTTACCTTCCCTAGACTTTCATCAGACTTTATGGTTCTAGAGAGTTATGAATATATATCCTGGAATGTAATTAATTCCTTGAACTTTTATGGAAGGTGATTGTTACATTCTCAAAACATTAATCCTGATGTTTACCCCTTCCTTGAACCTTCATAGGACTTGATTAATTTCTAGAACTTCACTGGAACCAAACTGTCACTCTCTGTGTATTTCATAAGACCTCATTGTTACCTTTTAAGAACTTAAAGGTGAATTTAACTGATTTTTCTAAAACCAATGCTTACTTTCCAAGAATTTTCATGGATCTTGATTGATACTAGTGATTCCAGCACCCCTGATGCGTCGGTACATGCATCGAGCCCATAGACCAAACACTATAGGTGTGCGTGTTGTTTCCAAAAAGTCATGTGACCGATACAGGAGTTGTTTCTAACTGACTGACTCACTAAACTGTGTTTAAAAATGTATCTGTCAACATGATGCATCTACTAAAAAAAAAAGTCAACTTTTGTGGTTAATCATTAAAATTATCAAGAATTTTGGAGCAGCCTAAAAAACTTACCCGAATTAAAGTTAATTTTAAATTGAGTCTAAGTTTATTTAATGTTTTTACTGTACTTAACGGTTTTAAAAATATGATTTAAAATCCTAGTCCACAAGCATCCTCATTCACATTAATTATTGGCTGCATTTAAAAATATTCTCAATTTAAATATAGATATGAAATAATACAATATAACCTACAATAACTTAAATTATATCATTGCACTAGGTCAGGGGTCGGCAACCCCCGGCTCCCTGGAACTTTTTAAAACAAACCAAAATTTATTATATTTTCCAATGCTCTAAACCAGGCATCCCCAAACCTGTCCTGCAGGCTTTAGAGGTTTCCCTGCTTTAGCACAGCTGATTCTGATGATTGCAGTTGAGCAAAAGTCTTTTAATCAGCCTTCAATTAAACCAGCTGTGCTGGAGCAGAGAAACATCTAAAACCTGCAGGACAGGTTTGGGGAGCCTGTACTAAATATTTGTATAATAAATACATTTAAATAATTTGAGTCATAGCTATAGAAGGTCAGTGGTCATAACTTGCAACCAGCGTGGCGCAGTGCAAGGCAAACAAAGCTGAACATGTGTCTCGGACCATGGATCCTAAAGGGGAAAAAAAGGAAGATGGCTGATGAGAAAAAAGGATTCATAGAATGGACAGAATCATTTGCTTTTATTATTAATGCAGAAGGAGTGCCAGAATTTTTGCGCAAAGATAGTTTTAAGACGTGGATTGCATCTCCAAACTCTCCTTACGCTGCTAGTTTTGTTGCAAGGAAGAAAACCCATCCACAGATCAAACAGGTAGCGCTCTGATGCAGTGATGGTAACTTTCTTCAATTTTTTCCCCCAAATCCTAAAAATATAAGTCACACCAAGGAACGCTGGTGACGGAGGATGTGGGATTTTAGGGTTAGAGAGCTCTGCTCTGATGGATGTCAGTTCCTGCTCGGTTCCTCATGACTCAATCAACTCCTCCCAACAGAAACACGTCCACCATAGAAAGATTCCTTTATCGTGTTTCTATAATTTCATCAATGCAACAGAACCTAAACCGTGAGGTGAAGCTGCATGCAGTGAGAACGTTCACTCCTCGTCCCTCTCCTCATGCTGCTATGTGACATTTGCTCCAGGATAAACATTTAATCATGAATGCTTATTATATATTTAAGCACACATAATCCTTTTCTATAGTGGGCTAATACACTTAGAGCCCGTGTTGCCATACAAGGCCGATATAAGACTTTTATATGAGGGCCCCAGACAGATTTATTTTTTTGGTTTTTTGGTCAAATACGGCTCTTTGAGTTGCCAACCCCTGTAATAGGTCATCAAATAATTTCATGTTTAGTCTGTCAAATAAGCTGCCTGCAGTGTCTTTAAATGTCCAGCAGGTGTCAGTCTTCTGTAAGACAGTATCAACGCAGCATCAATGCAGATTGGTAATGTGTTGAAACCCATCACTAATTGATATGTTATGCAAGTTCCGCAAAACTTGACTGGAAATGTCTCTAAAAAGTAACTCATGTTTTCCAGGGATGTCCGGGCTACATTATGGGAGCACAAACTAAGGTACCTGCAGCACGTATGTACTCCGATCCTTTTCCCGGCTGTATCTCCAGGTTGTTCACTAATGTCCCCACAGGAAGGGCCCCAAGTGGGTAGGCATCCCCCTCATTTGCTGATACTGAAAACAGTTTACAAAATGTCAGAATGACCTCAAATATCCTCAATAAGAACCTGAGAGGCTGGTTTTTATACCTGCCATGCGTCCGATGACAGCAGAGGTTTTAATGATGTCTCCAGCCTGCATGTTCTCTGTTGCAATGATCCATCTTTTCCGGTTGCCTCCTGCCACCAGAGCAATATCAGCCGACCTTTACCCAATAAAAAAAATAAATAAAAAATAGATGTATAGCTTATTTTCTCTTCAGTTAAGTAAAAAATAATTGTGACAAAATCTTACCTGCATGGGTCGTATCGCACCTCCACCACCTTCTCTTCAAATGGACGACCTTCTTTACTGGGTTCGTAGCGTAACCGCTGGAAGTCTACCCACCGGTACTTCTGTTTATGGCCTCCACCAATGCCCCGTGTGCGTATCTTTCCTAGTAATAGCAGTAAGATTTGTTTATATACATTTATAGTCGTCTTTGAAAGGCTTTAAAAAAAAAACGTGTATTGGAGCTTTTAAAGGAATAGTTAAGGGGACAGGGGTAGAGCGGACCATCCACTTAAAACTTTCTCCATCCTTTTATCAGTTAGTCTACTTTCAAAATAAAAGCCACTAGCAGCAGAAGACAACTACATCTTTAAACCTGGCTGAAATTTGTGGCTGCCTACACGGGCGATCATAATGGCTTCTTGAAAAAAGGTTTAACAGTCTTAAGATGAAAATATAAACACAGATGAACTATGATTGGAGGAGTGAAGGTAAGCCTTTCAAACCCTTTATTTAACACAATAGGGACAGTAACATGCTACGGGCTGGCTTGTGTTAATAAGTAGCAGCTCCAAATTCTTAAACTTCACTTTAAATGTACTATTACTTGGTGGACACAGTCCATTCAAATTAAAACTAGCTTTAGGATAATAAAGAAATCCAACGTTGAGCTTCTGGAATAGCCTCAATCACAGCCCTGTACAAAACCATGAGAAGTTATATAAAGGATTTTTTGTTATTATGTAGACATCCTTATTTACTGTTTCTCTGACGGTTCAAAAGATAAATAAAACAAAAGGAAAAAGAAGTTAAACAACAACAAGGAAATAAGGTGATCATTATCCTTCAGTCTTACCTGTATGATCTCTGCCTCCGGTCTTTTTCATCCCCATCGGCTTTATGGTGTACTTGTCCATCTTCTTCCAGAGTGTCCTATTCTGCTCTAGAGAGACTGTGGTCAGGAAGCCTCTGTACAGGCTGATGGTGCTGGGTACCTGAGCTCCAAGCTTCGGTTGAGTAGCCGTCTAAAAACACACAAAGAGAAAAAAAAAAACTCACTCAGTGGCTGTAATGTTACAGGTTGCTGGTTGTTGCAGACAAAGTGTTTACCTGTGAGGAGAGCAGAGCAGGCTGGGAGAGAGTCAGGGAGCGTAGAGTTCGGGTTAAACATTTCAAAGCCATTACAGCTGGAGGGGAAAAAAAGAAGAGAGAATTAAATAGTCCTCAAGGAACCAATAGTTCGGTTGGAAACAATAGGAGCAGTGTGCCACATAGAACAATGGATGTAGATGCATATAATAGCTGCAGACCTCCTAACTTCACCTGGCCTTCAAATTAGCTCAAGACCAGTGTGTTGCAAGCTTTATCGGATAGGTAGTGATGTTATGAGCCGTGGCTTCAAGGTGTGTGTCGAGTAATGGAGGGGGAGTTTCCCCAAAGCAGGCCGCATTGGATGTGATATTTGTTTGCAAAGCTATTATAACTCTCCTAATCTAAACCTTGGTGGAGGTAGAATTGTGGTGTGGGGTTGTCATTCAGGGATTATAGTTTAACTACCCCTTAAATCCAGTTAAAGCAACCTCTAATGCATCTGAAGTCAAATTCACTTTAGACAATGTAACATGTAGGGAATGTGGAGATAGTATGGACATCCCAATCACTGGGTTCCTTCAGAAAATGGATGCAATTAAGCAAAAAGTGTAATCAGGGCCGTTTCCTCCAACTTTACAAAAGCTTTTCTTTTAAGGATTGAGAAAATGTTTCAATTAACAACCTATATCTAAAGCAGAAAGGGGCTAAATGATGTACAGCAGAACAGGGAGGCAGATCATTAATGTAAAGCTAGTTCATGTGTTTCTTAAAGTAGGCGTCACATTTAGTAAACACAGAGTATTATTCTCCTTCTACTGCCAAAACTCGATATTTAAACCTGATAAAACTATGACAGCACTCAACACACGCAAAATTAACTATTTTTGTTTTTCACTATGTGCTATGAACGTTGGATTTTTCTATAAATTGATTAAGATGAACATCAAAGAAATTCTGTCTTACCGACACCGATGAGAGCACAGCGCTAAATCCCTCTAACGTTTTTTTATGTTTAGTTTGACCTCACGCAATCCAAATTAATCTAAACAACCAGACTTAGGTTTAGTTTTTAAGTTATTTATCCCGTAGTTCTGCTCGGCGCCCTTCAAAGCGCTGCACGCGACGTCGCGCTTTGATTACGTAGGTAATGGCGTTCAGGTGTTTTTAATCATTATTATAATTTGTTTATTTTTTATACACTATCGCACATTTTACTGATCATTATATCATAATATAAATAAATAAATAAATAATACATTTGTTTTTGTCATGCTGTGGTTTGGATAAACGGGGTGCGTTCCTTACCAGTTAGCCGGAGGATGACCCGGACAGAGTTGACGGCAAGGTGGAATGGGCGGAGTTAAAAAAAAGTTAAATGTCTGTTAAAGAATACAAAAGAAACATGTCAAAATTTCTGGTTTTTGATTCAGCAAAATGCTGAATGCATGTTAATGTGATTTAAGGGATGATCTTGTTGTAGAATCAGGCTGTCTCTTTTAAATTTTCTTTTTTCTTAAGTTTTGTATGTTTCCATTGTAATACTACTGTCTGTTTATTTATTAATTTATCTCTGTTGCCTTGCAATATTTACGTTTATAATATATCTTGTCTTCTCTTTTTTTAATGTAAGAAAAAAAAAACACCAGTATAGTCACTCGGTGGAAATAATAAGGACACAGAAGAAAGCTTACCGGTACATATGATAATAATACTAATGAAAAATGGCCAAAAATCGCACTTTGACCCCAAAATGGCCGACTTCCTATGGGTTTTAGGGCATACCTCCAAGAGACTTTTTTTCATGATTTGAGGAGATCTACCTGTGTGCCAAAGTTCAAATCTCTGTGACTTACTGTTTCCCCCAACTCACGTTAGGGGGCGCTGTGGCGTAATTTGGGGGCGGCCATTTTGGATTCCATTATAGACCGGCTATTTCACGCGGGGGACAATTTACTGCCACGTTTTCCTGAGTTTTTGAATATGCGAAGTCCCCGTAAAATGCGTTCAAAGTGCTAAAAGAATAATAATAACAATAATAATAAGAAACAGTACAGATACAATAGGCTCTTGCAGCCTTAGCTGCTCGGGCTTAAAAATGATGATAATTTATATTAAATGATAATAAAATACCATTTAAAAGTTTACAGCAAGGGAGGGAAATACACACATATGAAGGTTATTTTGTTTCAAAACTATTTGTGCATTGTAAATGAGAGAGAGTTACATTCTAAATTTTGTATGTGTAGAAGTACAAATACAAGTACAAATTTTTTTTGACACCTGTTCAAATTTTAAGTACAAGTACACAAATTCTGTTCTACAAGTTGTACTTCAAAGACCTCTTGCATTCTCAGTTTTGCTACAAATGACTCAGAATTATTGTTGCAAAATTATTTGTGCATTGTAACTTTGGTGTTTTGTAACTGTAGATTTTTTGAATCTGACACAATTACAAAAAAAGTTACACCTCTTAAAATTCTTGAGTACAAGTAAATAAACTGTGTTCTGTGAGTTGCACATGAAAAATGTCTTCCATTCAGTTTTGCTTCTGTTGATCTAAAACAAATGGTGCAAAACAAATTCTTTATTTTTGGGCTGAAACAACTAACTGGATTAAGCGATTATTGACATAATTGTCAACTAATTTAGAAATAAATTAATTTCTAACTTCAATTTTGAGACTAAAACATGCCTTTAGTTTAAAGAGCTACCCACTCACTTCAGTTATTATAGCCAAATTGTCCATCCATCCATCCATTATCTTACACGCTTGTCCCAATTGGGGTCGCGAGGGGTGCTGGTGCCTATCTCCAGCAGTCAATGGGCGAGAGGCGGGGTACACCCTGGACAGGTTGCCAGTCCATCGCAGGGCAACACAGAGACACACAGGACAAACAACCATTCACACACACACTCACACCTAAGGACAATTTAGAGAAGCCAATTAACCTAACAGTCATGTTTTTTGGACCGTGGGAGGAAGCCGGAGTACCCGGAGAGAACCCACGCATGCCCAGGGAGAACATGCAAACTCCATGCAGAAAGACCCTGGGCCAGGAATTGAACCCAGAACCTTCTTGCTGCAAGGCAGCAGTGCTAACCACTGCGCCACTGAGCAGCCCAAAAGCCAAATTGTAAAAAAAAAATTATTTGTTACACTGAGATCAAAAACCTTAATCCGTTCATATGCTTTAGCCAGAAGTTGTCAAAAGTCACAGTATTAACTTCCCTTGGTTTAAATTCTGTCAAAAACGTCTTCAAGGAACCTTTTTTCAGCCACTTAAGAATCGATTAGCTAAATAGTCGTTAGTTGCAGCCCTAGTTTATTGGAGTAGGATAAGGAAGAGAATGTGGAAGACCAAAAAAACTGCTGCCTGAAAAAAGCAACCACTGTGAAAAGATTCCACATTTGGAGCATTTTTTGTTCTTGTTGTTGTTTATAAAAAAAAAAAAAAACACAAAATCTTGTTTATGGAGAAATGCACTCAATTGCTTCTAACATAAAAAATAAAACTGGAATACAAAAAATATTAAAATTCTCCAGTTCTTGCAAATGTGTGACCTTTAACTTAAGCAAACTATATACACATTAATCTAAAGTACTCCAGCAACCCCCTAAAAAAGGATGTGAAGTTGTGTAGTCAAAGTCTGGATTTGGTAAATCAGATTGAGAAGCTGTGAAATTACCTTAAACAGGGTGTCTATGCTTGATAAACCTCCAATGAGGTGAAATTTAAATAAGTCCTAAAGTCGACTTAGAGGAAGATTGACAAAAAAAGATGAATAAATTAAATCTAAAAACAGGTTTATATGGTTGTTAGAGTTAAGCACTATATTGGATGATAAATAATTATTTCAGGATTAAGATTATTAGGTTTAGGGGTAGTAATTTTGTTTTCAGGTCGATTTATACCTTTTTATTTTTGCCTTTTTGTGAAAATAAATAATAATTTGAAACTTGTTGATTGTGTGTACTCAGGTCATCTTTGTTCTAAAAATGTATTACATGGTCTGTAACATTTATGAAAGACAAAGGGGCAAAAACAGAATGAAATCTGCAATGGGACAGTGTGCTTTTAGATCACTATATTTCTGTCTTGCAAAACAATAGCCATTTTGTTTCTTGTAATATGTTAACATGTTAAGGATTCTGAAACCTACTGGTACCAAAAGCTAGTATGGTTCCTCCTCTCTGTGAGCCTGTTTCCCTCACCTCTCTTCCAACACTGGGCTATCTGTAAAAGGTTAGATGTCTTATTAAATTAAGATTTTCAATGTAAGGGATTTTATGGTGTATCTGCTGCTCAGAATTATCTTTAAATTGAACTTTTTTGTTTTGTCTCTAGGGGGTAGCAGTCGCTGTGATTAAAACCATGACAGCTGTCGGGTCTCTCAAACCAAAGGTTCTTTATGTTGCATTCTATATAAAAGGTGAGCAGAATGTCATTAGATAAATCGACAAGATTGACAAGGAATAAGGATCAAAGTGTTGTTGTATTTTACAAGCTTTCAACCCAAATAGCACAAATTCTACTCGACAGAAGAACAAGAAGAAGCTTGCATCATTTGAGGAGAACAGTGAGCTCATTCCCTACCTGAGTTTGGTCATGAGAGGGGGCTACAAACCCCCCAGTGAACATCCCGTGGATTTTGATTTTAAACTTAACAGGTTTCTGTCGCTAAAAGCCCTGTGATCTAATGGTGCTCTTTAGCTACACCTTCTACATTTCCTCAAAACAATGAATGTAAAATGTAGATTATGAGGCTGCTTATAAAGTGTACTGAATTTGTAATAAAATGTATTTTGTGTTGAAAATATATTTTTGTTACCACTGTGGGAAAATCAATGCATTAGCTTACAATATCAACTGAATGTATTAGCTTATGATGACGAATCGCAAATATATAATCACTTTCAAATGTATCATTACAAGGGAAAATTGCTGAGCTATGTGAGTGTTGCTCAGAACTGAACAACATAGAAGTTTGAGAAATAGATTCACCTTGCAAATAATTGGTTGCACTGATCTAGCTACAGCCAGTGTTCTGTCAGATCAGGATACCCCATCAGACCAGCACACCCATAATCAATGCGCATGCACAAGACGTCAGGTTTGGCTCTTTCTATGTTTGATTTAAACGTTTTTTTGATATAAATCCCCTGCTATTTGTTTTACTTTGTATTTTTTAATTGTACTTCATTTTCATCTGTTCATGTACACATTTGTTATCCTCTGACAGAATTTCTTCACGTTAATGTCAATGGCTTGATAAAAAACATAAATAAAAAAAATTTAAATATATATATATTTCTGCGCCCTAGGGCGGAAATACGTCATCAATCCAATGAAAAATGGAATGACGCCTTACTAGTCTTTTAATTATCTTGGCCAAATTTCACTTCCATAAATTTAAATTTCAAAAAAAAAAAAAAAGCCAGACTTTAATGTTTATCTAATTAAAGTCAAGCAATATTTTCATGCTATTCACAAAAAAACCATAGCAATCTGTTCCCAACTAAAAATTCTGGACAACTTAATGTTGTAAAAGAAATGTTTATTTGTAGAATGTATATATGTATGCATAAATATGCACATATGAGACTCCCCAGCACATCTGTTTGTCTTTCCTCCTGATTGTATTTATTATTTGTAACATACCCCCTGGCATTTCTGTCTTCTTGTATGTTTTATATATTAGTGTTGACTTTTTATGTCTTAAATCAGTGTCATTGGGCGTGGGGCGGCGCACCAGCGCCTTCTAGTGGCCCCAGCGGCCTCTGTTGTTTTTAACCCTTTAAAGCCCGATCCAAGAATAAAACAAAACATAAAATTACTTTTTTTTTTTTTTTTTTTTGAAGTCCTTATTTGGCATTTTAACAAAATATGTAAAAAGGTGGTATTTTGGTATTAATAATTTATTACTATGCGATAAGTCAAGATTATTTTTTGTGTAGTCTTCTGCCCTCTGTTATCAGGTAGATTGTGTACAACAGGATTTTGGGCAAAGTTTTTACCATTAAATTATGCAAAAGGTGTCAGACGCAAAACATTTCAGAAACCGTATGTATCAAATATGATACATTTGGCATTACAGGGTTAAACAACTTACGTTTCTGCGAGGTTACTATGGAAACGCCAATTTCGTTCGTTCGCCTCAAACTGTTGTTGATTTGTCTCGAGTAAAATTTCAGAAAGCGCTTTTTTCCGTCATCGTTGTCAACTCTCCATGAATTATGGTCAGTTTGGAGTTCACTGAATACTTTTTGTAAAATAATTTGATTATTTGATGTTTCATGGAGGCTAATCAAGGAGGTGATATTAAGTGTTATTAAATATAGCCTAACTTCTCAACTTTATAGTAATCTATCAAACTAACATTTAAAACCAAACTTTGATGCTAACTGTAAAAATAACCTTGGCTGAGAGCACACTGAATGCCTTTTCTTTTATCAATTCAAAAATACTTGATCTGTCCCAATGGGAAATTAAACGATATTCTTAAACTCAGCATAAATCTTCATTAGCCTATAATTAAAACAAAAAACAAAAAAGAACGTAAGTAGTTGAATAAAAAGCACGATTTGTTGCAACAGGTTTTAAAGGAAACACTGCAGCCAATCAGAATCGAGTATTCAAGCCCAAAGGGAAATGAAATGATGACTAAATGTTCTGTGGGTTTGACAGTGTTTTGTTGGGCAGTAAGTGTTATCCTACGGAGCCCCTCTGATGACATGGTCAAAAAAAATGTTTAATTGTGGCCACGAAGTAGTATTTCGTGCGCACGAAATACTACTTCGTGGCCACAATTAAAAACATTTTTTTGACCATGTCATCAGAGGGGCTCCGTAAGAGGCATATCTTCTGGTCCAATATCAGGCTTTGACCAAACAAATGATAGGACATCCTCCTGGATGAGCATGTGGAGATAGCAGACATTCGCTTGCATTGCATCGTTGAGTCTGCACACCAAGCAATCTTGCAGCGCAGAGGAAAAAGTCCCTTTTAACAGGAATAGCCTACCTGTTCTGCCGAACAGCCAGTGTCTGCAGATTCTGCTGGTTAGTGATGAGAACCAGGTGGACTCAATGCCCTAGCAATCAGAGAGTGAAGGTACGGTACCTTTGGTGTGTCTGACCTGTCACTCGTGTTTGAAGAAGTGTCAAAGCATGAGAAGCAAACAGAGCTGGTAGCACATGTAAAGTCAGAACTGTGCAAGTATTTTACAAACTATTAAGGACAGCCAGTTTTTAACCTATATGACTGGAACGCTATGGTGACCATCATGAAAAAATAAAGATGGATCAGCTAAATTGAAGGCTCTTTGAGTGAAATCCAGGTAAGTTCCATATTCTAGACTATCCCTTTCAATCGTACAGTAAACCAAACTTGAAAATACCAACCATTAAAGATGAAATCCCTTTATTTCCTAATGTGCTGCCTCTATATTTGAATAATGATTTTAAAAAAAGTTGAATTAAGATTTTTTTTTTTACATCTTCCATATAGGTGTTTATGTAGCTGATTTTGAGAATACAAGACAAATCCCAATGTTTTCTTCACCCATTGACAGATAGCACTTTTTTCATTTTAAAATCAAATGAAAGTTCCACTTCCAGAACTTGCTCACTCTGATGTTAGATGAAACCCAAACTAGAAAAAGTTCCTGTCAGCAAAGTGCTGAAAAGAATTAAACTGTATGAGAATTCTTTCCTTTATTCAATCCAACATTAAAAGATGGATAGAGTTTCAGTTTTCTATTGTTCCATTAGTTATTTGTCCTTTCAGTTCATTAAACAGAAGATGAAGCACAAAGACCCAATCTCTGATCCAGGAGCAGATCTTGCTTTCTTTGCTGACGAACAGGAACAGATAAGTATCCTGTTGGACATGTGGACCTCCAACCATCACAAAGTTGTGGACGACATACAGCTGGTTTGTAGCGCACAGACTGACTTCCAACCACATCAGTGTTGCTGCACGCTTCATTCATTTACACTTTCTGCATGCACTGGTTTACTTAGAACGCCTCCCATTTTTTTGAAGTGTTTAACGGCTTTTATTTCCTCAAACAGAAACAAGCGGAAGAAGTGCGCTCCATGAGAGAGAAAATTAAGAAGCTCTGGGCTGGTGAGCAACTGCCCTATTCGGCTGCTCCTAATTTCAGCACGTTATTGACCTTGATTTCGGATCACCTTTTAATTAGACGATGAGGCCAAACAGTGGGCAGGGATAAAGCAGCGGCAGGAAGAATTTGAGAACAACTTGAAAGATGAGACAATGATGTGTGAGCTGATGTTTCATCTTAATTGCTTATGAAATATTTCTAAGTTGTTGAGACTATAATCTTGACATGTCCCTTGATCTGTATGTTGGTTTTTATTCAACATGTTTTTTGTTTCTTTTTTCAAATGCATCTGGAGATCTGGGAGGCTTCTTGCTGTCTGCTGACATTCAAATAATGGAGGTCTATGGCGCCCGAGACAGAAAGGTCCATAAAAGTCCACAAAAAACGTGTCAATATTCCTCCATACTGCTCGTCCAATGTATTCCAAGTTTCCTGAGTGGGTAGCATCCAGAATTTACTCGAAACGAAGTCATTTAGAATGTTTTTAGAGCATAAACAGTAGTGTATAGGATTTCCTGAAAGCGCGCCCTGCGAATTCACGACCCTACGGAAACCGCAGCAGACCAAACCAGATGAAAGTGCACATTCAGCTCGGCAAAGAACTCATGCTCTTCCTCAATACTGAGGTCCTCAGACATTTTTCTTTCGTTGTTTCTTTCTTTGCACAGGTAAACAGCACATTTCTTCTTCTACGCTTGCACTATCGGCAGAGCAGACGCTGAATGCGCACTTTCGTCTGGTTTGGTCTGCCGCGGTTTCCGTAGCGTCGTGAACGCGCAGGCGCGCGCTTTTAGGAAATCCTATACACTACTGTTTATGCTCTAAAAACATTCTAAATGACTTCGTTTCGAGTAAATTATGGACGCTACCCACTCAGGACACTTGGAATACATTGGACGAGCAGTATGGAGGAATATTGACACGTTTTTTATGGACTTTTATGGACCTTTCTGCCTCAGGCACCGTAGACCTCCATTATTTGAATGTCAGCAGACAGCAAGAAGCCTCCCAGATCTCCAGATGCATTTGAGATATCAAAAAAGTACTCCAGAGTGTTGTTCAGCATGGGGGTGAGTAGAAAACGAAGACTAATCATGTTTTGGGTGTACTATTCCTTTAACCTGCTTAAAAAGATAACAAAGTTCTAACCACATACAAAGGTTATGTCGTTGATGCTCATTATACTTATTTTATCTATTAGATCAACTCTTTGCTGCTAGAAGTGGATTTTTTCACAATGTGTTTTATAGGGTCCACTTAGAATTCCTCAGGAGAGCCTGAGATGTCTGAAGGAAGAACGCCATGAGCTGGAAGAGAAATTGAGCAAGGTAAAAGTATGATGTCTAAATTCTCCCCAAAAGGGCACACAAGTGACAAATACTTATACAAGCATTTTTCTTTAAAATACATTTGTTTTAAATAAATACAGGTGCTTAAAAAGCTGGCCTCCACCACAGAAAAGGTCCATGCACTCATGCTAGTGACATATTGGGGCCCTCATGGTATTCAATCTGCATTCATAAAACATTTAAAATATGCATGGAGAGCAGTTTGCGTGAGTATTTATCATGCACGTACCCTTTGGGCAGAATTCTGACCTCGGATAAAAGTTTTTTCAGATTCTTGTATGTCCAAGTGTAAGCAGGGGTTGTCTGAGACTTTTTCATCTTTATGTCGCTTCGCATTGAGCAGATGAACCGCACCCAGAGTCTTACTCAGGCCTCTGGAGGACAAGGAACAGGATCTGAGGGAGCATCTGGACTCTCAAAGTGAAGGTATTATAGATTCACACCTTTATGGTCCCTTCTGTGTGAATTTATATGAAAGCATGACAAAAACATATTTTCTTGCAGGAAGAACTAGGGGTCAGAAAGTCTGCTTTATTTAATTAATATTTTTGTTTCTTGTATTCATGGTGGATAAATGTGTGTCTTTCAGGTTGGCAGCAACAGGCAGGTTTGCATGTTTCGGAGAGCTGTAGCTGACCAAAAAAGTTTTTGTAATCGTTTTTTTCTTCACTTGGTTAGCAGAACGTCAAGATCTTTAACTTGACTGTTCTTTTTTTCTTGCTTTGAATTTTTCATGTTTTGTCATTGTAATTTTTTATTAAAATCAAATGTTAATGTCAGGCACAGGGGAGCCTCATCAGAAGCAATCCAGAGTTAATTATTTACTCTCATAGTGATCCCTGACAAATACTGTTCACTGTTTTTGATTTTGTGATTAAATAAATGAAGAAAAATGTTACTTGCTCTCAAAATCATTTTATTTGTCTTTATAGAGCCTATATTTATGAAGGTTTGGTAAATGACTAGTTTAGGGATCATTGTATATATTCACCATTTTTACTAGATTAATTTAGGAGATATAGAGTTCTTGTTTTGTTTTTTGTTTTTATATTCAAACTTTTCTTTAAACATTTTACACAAAAAAGTTATATACAAGATTACACATATAGTACAAAATAACAGGAGATGATGAAAAGGCTCCTCATTAGGAGACTGAACAAAGTCAGAACCCCCCCATCAAGCTGAAGACATCTATAAGATTAAAGATGTAAAACAAAAAAGAACAGCTGCAGTCTCTGAGCAGATTAGCTGCTGAAAGAGCAGAAACGATGGCGCTCTGCCTCGCATCACTGCTGGACAGATGAAGATTACTCAGCATGAATGAAGTAAAATGGGCCTGATTTAGATGGAGGAACTTTAGAAAATAAATATCAGAAAAGGGGATTTCACATCCCCTTAGATCAAGACCTGTTAGAATAAAATTCTGATACTAGTCTTCCTCCACTGGTGTAGTTTCACTAAATACGGCCCATTTCCTATATGTTTGCAGAGTGTGTTTAGAGTCACATGGAGGCAAACATCAAGGAATAATAATATGTTTATTATTAATAAACTGCAGGAGTGACAACCAGGAAGTAGGGGAAGAAAACATCAGTAATAAAAACAGGAATTAAGTCAAAATGAACTGAATGAAGGACAGTTGATTTCCAGAATAAAACCCATCATGTTCATCTCAGCTTATTTCAGACGTTTTTCTAATAAATGGGTTGATACCAAGTTCAGGTACCGACCAGAAATCATTGGACCAGGTTGTGTCCTTCGCTCCTTTTCATGATTTAATCAGGTCTTCAGAACCACAATGAAACTACCTGCAATGAGTTCTAATCAAAGGACCCCAAAATTAAATTATAAAATATGTATATATATATTATTTATGTCTTAATCAGTGTCATTGGGTGTGAGGCCCTCTATTGGCCAGCAGCCACTGGTTTCAACATCAGTCTCCCCACAGACAAGGAAAGAGATACAAACGACACCAGATCTACATCTACAGATCTACAGATCTTTTTCAAACCCTAAAGTGATCAAGTAAAAAATAAATCATAATAATAAAATAGAGCAAATATTTATTACATTACTATAAAATAATGTTGCAAACCCACTTATTGAACGGCGTTAGTTTTCAAACTTGCCACAAGGGGGCACCATTGCACTGCTGCTGACAGAACAGAAACGTGAAGGCGTCTGCTTCATTACATATATACACATTAATCATTATATATCAATGCACCATTCCTTAAAGGGTTTGGACGGAAATAACTTTTTTTTTTCATGAATTAAATGAACACAGATTTCATGCTCTGAATATCTTATTCTGATCTGAATTTAATAATTGCCACTGAGGAACCTTTGCTGATGAAATGAATCAGTTTATACTTAGACATCTTTATTGTCATTTTGTTTGCACATTTTGTTTCCCTGATGGGTTTTTAATCGTTGATAAACATGGAAGAGGACTCGTTTATCTCTTATTTTTAAACTTGTATTTTTTTTCATTTATGTATATGTTGCTTATTTCCCCCTTTACAAATATCTCCTTCTTTGGCATTTCTTGTTCCACTTAGATGTATGTAGATGTTTCAGATCCCCTTCAAAAACTCTGAATGCCTGACAAAAGAACCTGATCACATGAAATAAGATGTCTAAGATATAAGATGATTATCCAAATCTACCTTATACAAGTGATTCCATCCTAGTCTTAAAAAAAAACAACCTGTAAGTAAACATATTTTTTAAAGCTGTCTTTAAATTATATTATCACACTTAAACTTACAATATGTTGAATCAGAAAGTTTGCCTCATACATAGAATGAGGAAAATGGTGAAAGATGAAGAAAAATCTGCTTCAATGGAACCTGTCAACATGAGGCATGTCAAAATTTTAATCTAAACACATTATGTCTTGCTCCAAAAAATATTTCAGAGATGATACTTGAAAGGATTTGACAGCCATTTTAGGGCTTATCCCCCAGTAAACCTTAGACACAGCTGTTCCTTTAACTAGGAATGCAACTAACGATAATTTTTGCAAATTGATTAATCGGTCAATAATTTTATGATTAATAATTGGACAACCAAAGGTTCCTTAAAACATTTTTAATTTTAAAAATTAAAATCGATGAAAATAAAAATTTTCCACTTCTCGACTGGACATATTGACAGATGATTTATTTTATTTATTTTTTATCTAAAATGCAAAATGTTTATATATTATTTCAGTTTAATATGGGGGGAAAAGTCCGAATTCTGACTTTTTTCTCACATTATACTGAAATAAAATTTAAAAATCAGTTAACTTTTAAATTTTTTTTCAGTGGCCCTAATCCTTAAATTCCCAAGCAGCACTGTTTAGCTTAGGCTAAAAATGTCCAATGTGTCAGAATGCTCACATTTTCCAGTTTCAGGGCAGAACACAAAACATGACGTCACTTTAACCAGCACTAGACGCAATGCCTTGTGGGAATATTTTGCTGCGTAGAAGACATTTTGGATCTGGAAGGGGGCTGAGCTAGCCATAAGTCTTAGCTCTCGGTAAGTAAAAAACAGACTATACAATGATGTTAATCCTAAATATTTAGTTATGTATGTTATAACGATTATCCGGCTGGTTTACTTTGCGGCCCCAGTGTTTATAAATGACCGAAATGAGACATTAAACAGCTGGAAGCCGCAGCTAATAGCCAGGGAGTGGTGAAGCTAACCGGTTAGCCAATCAGCGGAGCAGCAGACCGCATCTGTGGACAGTCTGTGAAGTTCGCTGTAACAACACGGTTTGGTACATGAAAACATCAATATTAACCTAAAAAAGAAAACTACAAGATCATTCAGTTTTATATATTTGAATAGACTCTTTAAACGTAGCCACCTTCTGCCACGTTTACGATCCACGAAGCTACATTTTTTTGAAAACACTCCTGAACAGTGTTTATATTTCTATCTACCTTCTACTTGGTTAGGGTCATTTTGTATCTTTTCAGTAGTGCCTTTCTTCACGTCAGTGTCGTTAACGTGTAATTACCGTAAAATAAAACAACTATTATGGAGCGCAGAAAATGTCTAGCTGATCCATTTTATTGAGGTTGAGGATGATCTTAGGACCGGTTGTTGTCGGACATGTTTAAAGGTACAGTCAGAGGATTGATGGGTGACTGTGGCACTTCTGCCACACCCTCCCGCGTGCCCGTCTCTCCTTTGTGTCTGGCACCGATTCTGTTGGATTAATGTTTGTGTAAGAGATGGAGGGAAACGTTGTGGTCAGGTCGTTGCATTGTTTGCCTCTGCAGGGACTCACTGCAGCCTGATCTCTTCTATTTTAAATGGACAACTTTAAACTACAAAAGTCTATTTTTTATTTTTTTTTGTTACTGTATTTTGAAGATAATCTGAATTAAAACGTCTCAATTTTAACATTTGCCCCGAATCACTTTTTTTTTAAATTTACTAGACTCATTAAAGCAAGTTAGAGCTTTAAGAAATAAAAAAGAAAACCTTGGATTGCTGCACCTGTAAGGTCAATTTTAAACTTAGCAACATCAGCAATTTCACCAATAAATCAGCTTGACATTCTGTTTCTGTGATCAATTGAGACCATTTTCCCCCTAAATATTAAATTAATTGAAATGTAGTACAAACCATTTTCTTGCTGGAAATCTATCTAAAAAAAAACCTAAATAAAAACAGGGATCTGTTCTTTGGTCGAAAACAGGAGGATAATTATATTATTGTGCCATTTTCTTTTTTTATTTAAAATATCTTCTTTGGTTATTCTTTCTCTACTAACAGGTTGTTTAAAAATATAGACCTCAACTTATCAGATTTAAAAGAAAACCAGGGATATGTGTTAGCCAGGGAAAAATTAAACATTGCATCTTTATCAAAAAGGGTTAAAGAGCATATATGTACTGCAAAATCTCTACACAATCCTTTAAGTCAGCTATATTTTAAAGCTTTTATCAATAACACCAACTGTAGAAAATTGATCTAACGCTAACTTTTCTAGTCATTTTCAATTAGTTTAAAATTCTGACATTATTGCTGAGTCTTTATTATTTTTAACCAATGGTGAAAAGAATATATGCCCAAACTCTGCTGTAGAGCTTTCTAGATGATAGAAGATCTTAGAATGCTGTTTGTGTGCGTGGGCTGATTTGCTGCAGTGTTACCTGAGCTTTGAATGATTAAAGTTATCCGTAAAGTTAAGCGTTGCATTGCCACTGTTTTCAGTGTGTGTTTCATATTAAGAATAGCTGGATTATAAAAGCAGGTTCATGCTTTGCTCACAGCAGGATCATTTGCTAGAGAAAATGCAAATGGCTGAAAACATTTTTTTTTTCTTCAATTTATTTCTCCCCTGAGTCCCTTTTCGTTGTCGTTGAGGTTATTCTGTAATGTCTGGGTATAGAGGAGAGAGGAGAGCTGCATGGCTCCCTCCCCCACCCAACCTGCTCCTCTGCGCTCGCCTGTTTTTCCTCTCGCTGTGGGCGGGCCTGTCTCCTAATGTGCACCCTTAGCTGATGCTGCTTGTTCTGACGAAGCAGTGGGAAGGTCAGAGTCATCCTGCAGGCAGCTCCTTTTCCTCCCCCCTCCCTCTCTTCCTCTGCAGCATCATCATCCATTCCCTCTCATTACCATCTCATTTTAATCCCATCTGTGTTCAGTTTCATGCGGATTTTATCCTTCTTACTTTGAAAATCTCTGGATTAGAGCCATGTATTTTCCTGGAATGTAGCAGAAGAAGGTGAGATCACCATTTTCTTCTATGTATGAGGCCCCCAGCAGAAAAAAATGGTTGTTTTTTCAGTTATTTCAGGTGATAGATGGATGACAGTTTTCCAACAGTTAGTGTGACTAATTTACACTGCAGCATTGGTAGGTTTTTTTTTATTTATTTCCGTGCATATTTTATCACAACACAATAAGATTACAAATCAAAGGCATGTATGTGGGAGCCATTAGCATCGATTAACCTCTGTTTTTTATGTTGATGCATGTTAGCTTTGTACAGTCTTCCAGCAGCATCTCTTCTCAGCTTCTAGAGATGAATGATCGGTTGAGATCTTGTTCGAAAGAATTAAACAGAGAATAAAAGCCATATAATGCATATTTACTTTTTTGTTCATAGAATAGTTCAGCTACAGCTGTAGTCAGTTAATTCAATTTCTAAATTTCTTTTGATATATTTGTCTTTAGTGATGTTAAAAGTTACAGATTAATAGCAAGGCATCCTCATAAAGTGCAAACGTTGGATGTTTTAAACTTCATCTCAGTTCTTTAAAGACTTGGCAAACATTAACTTCCCCTCTCTGAAAGATGGAAGGTGTTTGGAGTGTTTTATCCTGGAAAAAGAGCTGGTAGAGATGAAAGCGTACGTCTTTATGAGCTAATGTGCGTCCTCAGTTAGTCGGTGCTTTTATCCACACAGGTGCCTGACAGCCAGAGTTGCTCTGAAGGGTAACAAGCAGTGTGATCTCTGGATGTTCTTGATCATTCAAAGGGAAAACATTCAGAGAGGATTGGAGCTTTGAAGCCAAACTCAATAAGAGAGACATGCTCAGCTCCATTTTTCCCTGGTTTAACGTAGACTTACGGAAAAGTTAATATCTTTTCCCTTGTGACTAATGCAGCAGAAGACAATAAAAGCTCTGTTACTTATTTTACTATGCAAATTTGAGTTATTCTGTTCTTTTGATAATTTGCTTCGGTCATAAATATAGTAGGCTGTCAGCTCACTCTGCTTTCCATGTATTCACCAAGTCAACATTTTCTCTTTCACTAATAGGCTATTCCTGATTTTAATTGGTCATAGCTCATTATAAACTTTAAAAACCCTGCTGGGATTTTTTAAGTTTATAATGGTGAAAAACTTCAATATTTATGTGAGAGAGGAATGTATTTGGTCCACAGATGATGAAAAAATAAAGATTAGTGTATTAATTTAATGTGTTTCCCTTCAGAAATGGTTGCTATTTTTCTCTTTTTTTTTAACCCTGTTTGGTCAGAGAGGTTTTTTTTTAATTACAGTTCACTTCTTTTGTAACGTAAAATCATAGTGAAGATTATATAAGTAGTGCTTGAAAGACTTAATGGCAGTTGAGAGAGGATTTAACATGCCTCTCCTCTGCTCTTCAGTAAATGATTCAATGCTTTTAATCATTTTAATCCTGTGTAGTTTAGAACGCAGGTATTTATGAAGCGACCGATGAATGTCCGTATCGTCTTAAGTGTTTCAAGGGTTATGTTTCATTTATTAACATTACTGACCTCATTTTCTGGGTGCTATTGGTAGAATACATGACCATTGGAGATAATTCTACCTGCCAACTGTTATTTCTTTAGTTTGTGATGTTGCCTTCCCTAAAAACCTCTGCTGCTTGTTCAGAGCTCCCAGCTGTTGGTAAACGGACACCAGTGTCATTCTGAACAGAGATCTCGACAGCTGCATAACTTTCAGTGGAGCACCAGCTGTTCAGTTTCTGGTTTGAGCGCCTGTCAAGTATCCGTCAGACACAAATCAACACGATGAACAACTTCTGAGAGACGCTCACTTTGTTCACATGATTTGACATAAATAACAAGGCAGAAGTGCAGGATTGGTTGAGCAGAAGATGATTCAGATATTCCTTTTTTTTTACCTCTTTTATCCCATGGATAAACAAACACACCATTTAACCAATGAGTGAATGCAGTGAACCTGCTGCAACCAACCAGCCAGCTCTGATTTGTTTCAATTAACCCGTTCAAAATATGTTTTTCTTCCTGCCCAAACGGTCAATAAGAACAGACAAAATTAGTGGTGTGGCCATTTTGAATTGGCTTTAGCTCTATGCACCAATATTGTGTTAACCTTTCATTATCATGTTGAGCTTCCTGGTTTCTAATGAGGTTATTGTCGGTTTAGAGGTAGCTGCCTGAATAAAGAGCAAACTTCAAGTCTTAAATAATGAAGTTTCTGCTCTGGTTGCATCTGGCTTCCTTCAAACCACATAAAGAAAAAAAATTCTGTTCAAAGATAGTTGTTTTAAAAGCAACCTGTTAATGATGGATGGGATATTACAGCCTTTCAAACTGAAAACCAACAGATTTTCACCCAAAGAAGTCAGAATTGTGACACCCCCATATTTGATCTAACTGGCTCTGATGGTGCGGTGCATCCTCACAGACGTCTCTGCAGAGGTAACAGCTCTACAGACATTCTTCATGTTATGATGTGATGATAGTAACGTAGGATCCCATTGCTCAACAACAGTTTATAACACAGAGATGCTGGTATCCATTATTACTCCTAGAAAGGGTGTGCTGCTGCTGTGTTCTCCTATGCATGTGGATCGCTTTAGGGTTATCAAATATTCAAACAGGATCCTGATGGAGGTTCTGTTAGAATATAAGCATGAGCATAAGTTTGAAGTTTTATTTCTGACTGAGTCCCAGTTGTTTAGGGCCTGGATGTTTTCCTTTGTGCATGTAGCCAACAGTAATGAGGCTTTGAGTCACAGTTAACCTTCGGACTCTTTGGGGGAAATGTCACATGTTCAAGGTACGCAATACATGCCTGGCATTTTTCCGTATTAAGTCTTTCCAGCTCCTTTTTTTTTTTTTTTTTTTTTGCAGGCAGCTTGATGGTTATTATTACTGGTACTTTTTGTTGTTGTCATTTTACACTAACATTCACAGCAGGCTGTGTTTTTTAAAGCTGGGATCTGAAAGTATCTCCTCTGGTAACCTGGAGCACTGCAGCTTATTATTGGCACCAAATCCCCAAATGATTTCCTGTAGCTGAATATCTTCTGTTGCCTTCAGAGTGGGTTTTGTGTTGTGCAGGGTGTGGCCTTTTGCTCAATGCACACAGATAACCAGTGTACAGGTGCTGGTCATAAAATTAGAATATCATGAAAAAGTAGATTGATTTCAGTAATTCCATTTAAAAAGTGAAACTTGTATATTATATTCATACATTACATACAAACTCATATATTTCAGATGTTTATTTTGTTTAATTTTGATGATTACAAATGACAACAAATGAAAATCTCAAATTCATCATATCAGAAAATTAGAATATTGTGAAAAGGTTCAAAATTGATTGCCCCTGGTACCACACTCTAATCAGCTAATTAACTCAAACCACCTGCAAAAGCCTTTAAATGGTCTTTCAGTCTAGTTCTATAGGCTACACAATCATGGGGAAGACTGCTGACTTGACAGTTGTCCAAAAGACGACCATCGACACCTTGCACAAGGAGGGCAAGACACAAAAGGTCATCACTAAAGAGGCTGGCTGTTCACAGAGCTCAGTGTCCAAGCACATTAATAGAGAGGCGAAGGGAAGGAAAAGATGTGGTCGAAAAAAGTGTACAAGCAAGAGAGATAACCGCACCCTGGAGAGGATTGTGAAACAAAACCCATTCAAAAATGTGGGGGAGATTGACAAAGAGTGGACTGCAGCTGGAGTGAGTGCTTCAAGAACCACCACACACAGACGTATGAAAGACATGGGTTTCTGCTGTCGCATTCCTTGTGTCAAGCCACTCTTGAACCACAGACAGCGTCAGAAGCGTCTTGCCTGGGCTAAAGAGAAACAGGACTGGACTGCTGGTGAGTGGTCCAAAGTCATGTTCTCTGATGAAAGTAAATTTTGCATTTCCTTTGGAAATCAAGGTCCCAGAGTCTGGAGGAAAAGAAGAGAGGCACTTCATCCACGTTGCTTGAAGTCCAGTGTAAAGTTTCCACAGTCAGTGATGGTTTGGGGTGCCATGTCATCTGCTGGTGTTGGTCCATTGTGTTTTCTGAGGTCCAGGGTCAACGCAGCCACATACCAGGAAGTTTTAGAGCACTTCATGCTTCCTGTAGCTGACCAACTTTTTGGAGATGCAGATTTCATTTTCCAACAGGACTTGGCACCTGCACACAGTGCCAAAGCTACCAGTACCTGGTTGAAGGACCATGGTATCCCTGTTCTTAATTGGCCAGCAAACTCTCCTGACCTTAACCCCATAGAAAATCTATGGGGTATTGTGAAGAAGAAGATGCAATACACCAGACCCAACAATTCAGAAGAGCTAAAAGCCACTATTAGAGCAACCTGGGCTATCATAACACCTGAGCAGTGCCACAGACTGATCGACTCCATGCCACGCCGCATTGCTGCAGTAATACAGGCCAAAGGAGGCCCAACTAAATACTGAGTGCTGTACATGCTCATACTTTTCATGTTCATACTTTTCAGTTGGCCAACATTTCTATAAATCCTTTGTTTTTATTGGTCTTCAGTAATATTCTAATTTTCTGATATGATGAATTTGAGATTTTCATTTGTTGTCATTTGTAATCATCAAAATTAAACAAAATAAACATCTGAAATATATGAGTTTGTATGTAATGTATGAATATAATATACAAGTTTCACTTTTTAAATGGAATTACTGAAATCAATCTACTTTTTCATGATATTCTAATTTTATGACCAGCACCTGTATGTAGATGAGCTTCCTGAAGAAATGCTGACCCACTGTGTGTCTCACATTGAGCGATTAGATAACCTCTGGGTACATCTCTCACTGCTGGAGGGTGATCTTATTACCGGAGCTCAGAGATGAGACGGTGTAGGTTAACATTGACGGAAAAATCCCTGTACACACTGAGATCCCATTTCATGTCATACAAAAGAAGCACGGCTTGCTAAAAGAAATATTTAGAAACAAAGCTGAATCAATTGATGTGACTCACAATTTTACATTAGCTGATTTACTTTTGCTCCTTATTTAGAGAGTTTGTGTGACACCCCTGCACAGCTGAGTCATTGAAAATCATTATTTGGAGCTTTTTTTTGTTCTAGCTTCTCCTTTTAAGATTTGCCTCAATTAGTTAGCTCGTCATTAAGCTTAGGTCCAAACACTGCAGCTTTTTTATAATATGTATTTGTGTCTGTAGAAAAGGGATTCCAAGTCTTCCTAAAAGGTTTTTGTTCTTGTTGACTGCTTAAGCCTGACATTTTTTTGTAAGATGCTTGTATTTTATCACTTTTTATTCTTATTTTTTATCTTATTATATTGTATAGTTGGATGTGTGTATATATCATGTAAAACTGTAACTAGAGCGTGTAACAAAAGTAATTTCCCTCTGGGATTATTAAAGTATTTCTGATTCTGATTCTGATTTGTTTGATTAAAACCTTTTACAACTTTCTGACAATTTAGGGAGAAAAAGGAACACAATCAGTCCATCATTGTAGATAAAATGTCTCCCTTCTTGGAGCTTCTTAAACAGAAAACGTTTCAAAAACAAAGTCATTTAATTTAGTTAAAAAAAACTATTTTTAATTTAATTCTTCAGCACATTATCGGGTTGCATTCATGAATTATGCATTAGTTTAGAGATTTTTATGTCATTTCACATTAAGGTATATTTTCATATTGACTGAGATTGATCAACCATACATTTATGGCTTTAAATAGTCAGCGACGTTATTAAAGCAGGTTAAGAAGTAATTGTTGTTAATCTAAAAAAAAATCCTCATGTACAGGGATGAGTATTGCCAAGGTTGTTATGATACAATAAGCATCACAATACATTATTATCGTGGTATTGCAATGTTCTACTAAGGTAATATGAAAATGAAATATAGAGATATAAAAGCAAGAGCTTTATACGCTATCAGAAGATATCGATCATTCTGTTTTGGTACCTATGTTGTTTGGTGTTTCAGTTGCACAGCAAAAGGGATCCATAGCGCCATCTATTGGAGCGGTGGTGCAAAGGTAGCCTATTTCCCCCTATTGTTTTACATAGGGGGAAATAGTTTTTAATTTTATCAGTAGCAAAAAAGTTCAATATTATATTGGGCGGCCTAAGATAGCGATATATCGCCAAATTGATTCATTTATTTTCTATTCTATTCTATTCACTCCTAATACATTTGAGGACAACCCTGGATTTTGCTCAAGTAACATACAAGTTAATTTTGTTTTAGATGAACGGTTCTAAAAACCGTTTTAAAACACATCAACCAGATTATCTGCTGTTCTTGGTTTTGTAAATCACTCATCTCAGCTAAAGCAGCTTAGAAAAATAGAATAATATTAACATTAAAACTTTTCTTTTAAATCCCCTTTGTTTAACTTGTCAAGGGAAAATCTAGAACACAATTTAAACAGTTCTTTGGGATTTTTTCTGTTTCCTCTGGTTCAGGTTTCCTTGAGCTCCAGCAAAAATGTCAACTATGGTGTATCCACTGGAGGAGAAGCTGGAGAAGCTCTCCCAGGAGGAGATCATCTCCAACACAAAGCTGGTCATCCAAGGTCTGGAGGCCCTGAAGAACGAGCACAACTCAATCCTCCACAGCCTGCTGGAGACCATCAAGTGCCTAAAGAAGGATGAAGAGGCCAACCTGGTCCATGAGAAGTCCAACTTGCTCCGCAAGTCAGTAGAGATGATCGAGCTAGGCCTGGGAGAAGCCCAGGTAAGGAAAAATAAGGAAAAGAAGCCTATGATAATACAGGTTATATTGGATAGTCGTCCGGCTTGTTTCCTCCTCACAGCTTCCTCATTCTATACTGAGTTCACATGGTGATCATGATTCACTCAGAATCTGACTGCATTTGTAGTTGTCTTTCTTGTCCCTTGCTATGTTTCTTCCGTCCCGTTAAATGTCCTCAATGCTGTCTCTACCTCAGGTGATGATGGCTCTGTCCAATCACCTGAATGCGGTGGAGTCTGAGAAGCAGAAGCTGCGCGCTCAGGTGAGGAGGCTTTGCCAGGAGAACCAGTGGCTGCGGGACGAGCTGGCCAACACCCAGCAGAAGCTGCAGAAGAGCGAGCAGAGCGTGGCCCAGCTGGAGGAGGAGAAGAAGCACCTGGAGTTCATGAACCAGCTCAAAAAGTATGATGAAGACGTCTCGCCCACTGTAAGTAAATCTTTAACAGCCCTGTGAGGAAATCTTTCAACTATTAGTATGGCGTTGAGTTATTTATTTAAAAAAAAAGTAAAGGAGGCTTTCCACACTAAAGACCTGGAGCTCAGCCCTAAAGATAATCATCAAAACATGAAAGGATGCTCAAATTTAGCAAACATAAAATGGGTTTATTGTTGTAGTTTGACTTGCAGTGAGAATGGGTGTCAGGGACTGGTGCAGGGAAAGAAAAGGACCCATTAGGGCTGGGCGATATAGAAAAAAAGCTTATCGATAAAAAAAAAATGCATATTGATCGATATCGATAATTATTGAAAAGATTGGAAACCATATTTTATGTGCAGCTCTGCCTGGACTTTTTATAATATTGCTAAATGATTTAATTTGAATAAAAAACACAAACACAGACTTCGAATTAAATCTTTATTTAACCAACTTTTTTAACCATAACAGAATTGTTTTAAAGAAAAATAACTTAAGAGACCTGAGATATGTTATTAAATACTGACAAAGAATAAACTACAGTGATCAGAAAAGTGACCAAAATAAATATAACAAATAAATAAATGCCCCCCCACCGCCGCCGCCGCCCCCGTTTCCTGCTTTAACCTGAGTTATTACTTTGAAGTTTCTGGCCCCTCAGCATTTTTATCTCAATTGTTAGAACTACGTGGGAAACTGCCCAGAACTGAAAATATATATATATTTTCCGAAGATTCCTCGGAGGAGAGCCGCACCGGGGCCTACACAGCTCTTACTCCTGCGGCTGTGAGCGGCTGAGATGATAAAAAAAAGTTGGTTGTGTTATCAGACTTCGTTTTCACTGGTTCCCGACACATTTTCCAGATGACTGTGGTTTGTTTTTGGTCCGACTTGCCATGACCGAAATACTGCCAGACTGCCGAACTACAAACTACATGTGCTCTGTGTTGTGGTTTGAGAGGGCGGCGCTTGGTGACGACATGCCTGGGTCCGCGATTGTGATTGGTTGGGAGGAAGTAGTGACTAGCATAAACCTACATGCTAGGCTACAATGAGAAGGAAGGAAAACTGCGTTTCTTTTTTATCGAACTTTTATCGACCCTCTTTTTTTCTATTGCGCCACACGTCTATCGATCGATATATATCGTTATTGAATTATCGCCCAGCCCTAGGACCCATTGATGTAACCCTTTTCATGGCTCAGTTCCTCTCATAACTATTGTTGTGTAATTTGCTGCTGAAGATTGTCAGTCATCCAGGTTAAATTGAAAATTGAACCAGAAGAACGGATCTTCCCCTTAGGAACGGGGTCTGTTGTTGTGGACTGTTGGCATTTATGTCTGTAACACCAATTAAACATTTTCTAATATTCCACTCTAAAAAATAAGTCATAAAGGTATGAATGATTTGTGCTGTTCTCGTATCCATTCAATATTTGTATTGGTCAAAACTTAAATCTGCAATATTGGTTATTGTGAATGAGAAGCTTTTATATAGGCATCCCTAATTCTCTCTAGATTTAGTTGTTCCAAAATGTCAGTTTTAGTAAGATGATTACCAATAATAGGCTACAAAATTTCAATACGCACTTCCCAATTTACATAGTTTTCTGTTTCACCAGCTGCTTTAATATGCAATTTGATGCATACTGAGTCACTAGCAAAAAAAATCTGGAAGAGCCCTCATATCTTTGCATCTAAGCTACAGTCAGCAGGTGCTCTCATTTGCTGCATACCGTATGATGTGTTTTTCGGACTATTAGCCGCACCTGAATATAAGCCGCAGGTTTTTTATGTTTAATACAAACTGTCTTGCGCTCGCAATGTCCGTCTTTCTCGCTGTCGTTCTGTCACGTACCACTTGCGGTAGAAGTCTGCTTCCAGAGGACCTCCGCATTCCCGCGCGTGCGGCTACCGTACTTGTGTGTTGAAGAAAATGTGACGTCAACATGGTGGATGGTAAAATCCATAGATTTAGGTATTACCCTAGTGGCCGTTAGCTGTAAAAGTCCATATATAAGCTGCATTGTTGTATAAGCCGCAAGGTCGAAAAATGGGGAAAAAGTCGCGGCTTATAGCCCGAAAATTACGGTATGTTCCTCTGGTTGTTGAATCACGGCTTAACTTATGACCAAAATATTGGCCTAATTTGAGAGATATTGAATTATTTCTCAGCTTGGCATATATCACCTGGTGCGTTTCAATTTTTTCCTCGTCTTTACAAGCAGCTCCATAAATTCTCAATCTGCTGGTCCAAAGTGGTCAACAATACGTTTCCTGAATACAGAGGTGTAGTGTTTATTTTTGTGACAGAAGAGTTGAAATGTTGCTGAACCTAGAAGTTCCAGATCTAGCTCCTCCTGGTGGCTAAAGGTTGCACAGTGTTGCTTTGGTATATTTTGTATCCAGGGCTGAAAAAGCCCCAGAGTACAAAAAAGAAAAGTAATTAAATCAACCAAAAACCTTTTTGACACTGAAATGTTTGTTTATGCTTCGTTGTTTTATTGTGTTAAGCAGTTGCCAAATTGAGGTTGTTACATCAGCTATTGTACTAAAAGCTAAGGAAATATTAGTGTGTTGCAAATTTGTGCAACAGCTATAATGGTCAGTAATAATTTGCAGCATCAATGACCAGAGTCCAGTGTCAAAGGTTCATAGATCTTTATTGAATATGTAATAACTGGCATGGGGAGAATCCACACAGTATTCTAGCTGTTTGGGTCATACAGTTTGTTGCATATTTGCAACAGGCGTCAATGGGTTATACATTTTTTACTCTCATTGTGTTTTAATTGCAGTAAAAAAAATGTCTCTAAATCAGTAATTGTGTTAAATTATTTGCCAAGATGTTTGCAATACTTTTTTGTATTTGTTTATAAGTAGAAAGTTCTAATTTTAGCTTAGTTGCCATAAAGAAATGTGCATGTGCAGGAGATAAATACGCCTCTCCTGTTTGCTGAGTAAGAATATACCTTTCTCCAAATAAGAGGCTACTTTAGGTTTTTATTGATGAGGTGGCAACAATGAGCTGCTATATTACCTTCCCGTATGTTGATCCCAAAATGGGGCTTATTGGCTTTTCTTTTCTGCTTAAATCAGCAGAAACTCTCCTGCCTGGAGCCTTAGGGCCTCTGTTATATGTCTAGATTAGCAGCTATGTTTTCAGGTCTTTTTATTACTAATAGATGAGAGAACTTTATCCTCCACCTAAAGGTTTTAAGGTTCTATAGAGTCTAATATTTGTGGTTGTGTTTATGGTGATTTAGCATCATTTGTATGGTTATATGTAACCTTCTTTAATGGATGATAAGTTAACTCAACCAAGTTAAATAGGATTTGAAATCTTTTATTTTTCTTGACATTTTTTAAATATATTTTAATGTCTGAAGGAGGTTCTAATGATTCTCTTTTCTTTTGACCAGCAGGAGGAGAAAGACAGAGAAACACCAAAAGACAACTTGGACGACCTTTTCCCTAATGATGAAGAGGACCAAGGTCAAGGAAGTAAGTGAAAGGATGTTTAGTACTTGATCTTAAATGTGTATTTACTAATAAGTAAATAAAGGAATTCAGTTTCCAGCTCTTGGTCTGTGATGTAAAAAAACAAGGGAGGTTTTAAGGTCGAGGCAGAGTAATGTATATCCGAGAACTCCCACCTGATTCTTTGTTTTTCTAAAGAATTTAAAAATGTTTAATTCTTTGGTCTTTCCTCTCACAGTGCAGCACCAACACAACAGCGCTGCCGTGGCTGCAGCCCAGCAGGGAGGCTATGAGATACCAGCCCGCCTGAGAACCCTGCACAACCTGGTGATCCAGTACGCCTCTCAGGGCAGGTACGAGGTGGCGGTGCCGCTCTGCAAGCAAGCTTTAGAGGACTTGGAGAAAACCTCTGGACATGACCACCCTGATGTTGCCACCATGCTCAACATCCTGGCTTTGGTCTACAGGTAAGGATCAACAGATACACTTGACCAGCTTCCTCCTTCATTATTTTGCTTCATTAAGCTGATCAAGTCCTGTTTCTTTAATCATGTAGGGATCAAAACAAATACAAAGAGGCTGCCCATCTGCTCAATGATGCACTATCCATCCGTGAGAAAACCCTGGGCAAAGACCACCCAGCTGTAAGCGTTCAGTTTTCATGGCAGTAGCTCACAGCCATCTGTCCCTTTATGTTTGTTTTATGTAACTGGTGAACAGGGAGGAAAACCAGCTCAGTTCTATGTTTACTGTCCTGCTCAGTCATTTGTTATTCCTCTACTAATTTATGGATTGCTGGTCATACGCCCGGAGGCAGGAAGTAATCAGTCAATAGCCGTCTGGGCCTACTCTGGCTTACAGTAAAATCCTCACCCAGGTTACAGGTTTAATTAGAACCGAAAATGAAATAATTCAGTTTCATTTGATTCAAAAAGTGAAACTTCTGTTATTTAGAGGAGAGGTTTCCCATCTGCAGCCGTTTACAGAGACTAACCTGGACGTTTTTAATCAATCCTTAATGTAATGCACGGAAATGTATTTATTATATTTATAAATAATGTTTAGAATTTGGGCTTATATGTGGCTAACACAGAAAATTAAAAGAATAATGCATATTTATCTATTTTGATCTGCACTTCTTATAGGACAATGGCAGATACCCTCCATAAGAAGGATAAAGACACAAAAAATTATTTTTAAAGAAGTTGATTGTTTAATGGGCAGTCGTGGGTGAGCGGTTAGGGTGTCAGACTTGGATCCCAAAGGTTACCGGTTCGACTCCCGACCCGCCAGGTTGTTGGGGGGAGTAATTAACCAGCGCTCTCCCCCATCCTCCTCCATGACTGAGGTACCCTGAGCATGGTACCGTCCCGCCACACTGCTCCCTTGGGGCGCCATTGAGGGCTGCCCCCTTGCACGGGTGAGGCATAAATGCAATTTCACAGTGTGCAGTGTTCACTTGGGTGTGCTGTGTCACAATGACAATGGGAGTTGGAGGAGTTTCCCAAAGGGCTTTCACTTATTATAATGTTCTCCATCCTCTATATTATTGACAATAAGTTGGAGAAAGTCGTAGAAATATTATGTTACTTTCCTGTTATGGCAGGCCTGTTTACTAATTCTTGCTGCATATAAACTGAAGATTATGTGAGAGGAAAAAGTGCTACAATAATTTGTCCAGGTCATACAAATCATTTATTAGATTTTTTTTTTTTTTGTAATGTTAAATCTTTATAGAAACTTTAGTTTGGATCTTCATTAAAATTTTCACTAAAATGATTAAATGAATCAAGTTTCTCTTGATATTTCAGTTCATCCAGATGCATATGTAAAATAACCAATCTGAAAGATTAATCTAAAAATAGTTTTTAAGATTTCTTTAGAAACACGCCCACACCCCAGAGTAAGCTAATAGAGCAATGTTGCAGCTCTTTTTGTTTAACACCTTGGAGGTTTGAGTTTTCGTAGAGCCCAGCTTGATGGAGCTTCTTGTATTTGAAGACTTTATTAGTTCTCTGGACTACAGCGGGAAAAATCACTGAAGTGCATCAGTACAAAAACAGCAGAGGGTCTAATCATTGTGTCTGTCTCTTATTCTGTCCAGGTTGCTGCAACGCTCAACAACTTGGCTGTGTTGTATGGAAAGAGGGGGAAGTACAAGGAAGCCGAGCCTCTTTGCAAGAGAGCTCTGGAGATCAGAGAAAAGGTGGGTCATGTCCCTGGACTGCACCAGCAGCACAGTCCACCGAGCAGGAAAAAGTCTCCTCAGTAACATCATCTTTGGATAGGAGAAGATGATTTTCTTAAATTGAGTGTAAAGTTCTTCTGGGGGCTGTTCCCTGGTCAGAGTGGGAATTATGGCTTTTAATTGAGAGCACAGCTGAAAATGGATACAAAGCACTAGGGAGGAGAAGCAGAAGATAGATTAGAGACATGACCAGCTGTTGAACTCTGAAGGGTAAAATGTTATCTGTTGGTCCTATTCTGAGCTCACTCGATCAGTCATCTGTCTTTTATATATTCTGTGTTCTTGCAGCAGAAAAAAAAACAAAGATCAGATGATTACAGAAATGATTTTCTAAAAACTGTCTGCAGCGTCTTACACTGATGATTTAGCTCTATTAGTGTCTCTTTGTGCATTTCTTAAAAAATGTACAATCTTACCTTTACTCTGTCATTTCCGAAATGCTTCCAGCATGTCTCTTTTAAATCCAGGAGGCTGAAATAGCTTTAATGCTCTCAGCCTTCCTGTTATCTACCTCTTGTTTTGTTTTCACCATACCTCACTGAGGTGTGGTGTGTTTTCTAATCAAGGTATTCAGATTTTTATGGCTATGGAAGTTTAGTTACTGATATCGTTAATAATGAAATTTGGACCATTCTAATCACCAACTGTTTTCTCTTTGCACCTTTAGCACAAAGACACAGTGAATTATTAGTTTTTCTCTCTGTATTGCCGTCAGGTCCTGGGGAAAGAACACCCAGATGTAGCCAAACAGCTGAATAATCTGGCCCTACTGTGCCAGAACCAGGGCAAATATGAGGAGGTGGAGTACTACTACTGCCGCGCCCTGGAGATCTACGAGTGCAGGCTGGGTCCAGATGATCCCAATGTGGCGAAGACCAAGAACAACCTGGTGAGAAAGGGGCATCCTGGCTCAGTGTTCACTCAAAGCCATTTATTTGTACACAAACGCCTCTTAATATTCTACAGAAACATACATTTTGTTTTGCTGTTTTCAGATGACCTCTGCAGAGGCCTTTGCTTTACAGATTGAATTCTCTCCACAAAGTTTCACTTTAACCCATTTAGGCCTAAAACGCCTGGAAAAAACACCTTAAAAACCTATGGCCGATTTTAAAAAATACCCCTAAAACCTGAAGTTTTTCTGTAAATTCAGCAACTGTGTCAACGCCTAGTAAATTATTGATATCTCAGCTTCTGTAGCAGATAGAACTCAAAATATATTTTATCTTTGAAATTCTTCCAAAAAAAAAAAGTGAAAAGCAGTAATCAAAAAAAAAAAAAAAAAAATTCAACCTTTTATTTTTTCCATATGTGATCATGTCTTCATTGAGAATGTGCAATATAAAACGTTTTTAAAATAAAGAACAAACATTACATAAATAACTATCTGATGATTACTTATTAACAGTATTATTATGCATAATAATGCATATGTCTGTGTTATAAATTGCATACAACTTACCTCCAGATGGCCACAAATCTGTCCCGGGACATATTTTGGGGGAACTGCGTCCTGAAGAGAGGTTTACTCTGTCGCCAATAATCTCTTCGTACTGGCAACACAAGAATTCCCATGCCCATACACAGCCCAATAAATGTCTTCATCTCCGTCACAGTCACGGGTGACCACTTTGCCATCTTTGCTCTTGTTGGAGTTTGGTTTGTTTGGTCACTGTACCTATTCGTCTCGGTAACAAGATGCATCCAAAGTTCTTCATTAAAAATATACTCAAATGCCTGCAGCGGTGTGGCGTCTGCAGGCAAATCAACTTTCACTCCAGGTGTGCGGTTGAAAACACTCCGTGCATTGCGGTGGTAGTTCGATTGGTTCAGCGCGTTCAAAGTCATCATTTTCATCTATACCGTCATCAAAGCCGACACACTCCTCAAAAACACTGCCTTCCGACAACTCTTCTCTGTCAAACTCCTCCATGTTTGCTTGAGAAAAAACTTCTTTCTCCTTGCTTGACTTATATGCTCTCCCGGCGTCAATGGTAGAATTACGCAACAGCGCCCCCGGCTTGAATGGTAGAAATGCATTAATGCTTTCCCGGCCTAAATGGGTTAATACATTTCAAATTTCATTTTCTGCATTTCTTTAAGCTAGCTCATTCAAGGCTGTCATTTTCTCTCAGAGAAATTAGCTAGATCTTTATTCTTTATTATATTTTTGAGGTAGTTAATGTCCTTGATCTCCTGGCTCAGTACTTTATGTTCTCCAGTTTTTATTTTTATTTTTTTATCATCTCACAGTCAGTAAAATCTTCCCAGTAAAAATGAGGCTGTATGCTGCAGTGTTGTTCCTGCATGACGCCTATGTAGATGGATTTTTCTCCTCAGGGTTTGCAGAGTTAGTGCCCTAAAATGCATCCGTATTTACATGTATTTTCTCCTGTTTCTCTGCAGGCCTCCTGCTTCCTCAAACAGGGGAAATACAAAGAGGCTGAGATTCTGTACAAAGAGATTCTGACCCGAGCTCATGAGAAAGAGTTTGGATCGGTTGATGGTAAGGAACCATAATGGATGATAGATTAGAGATTGTCATTTTCTGCCTGGATTAAATGTGTTTTATAACTAAACTGGGTTTATTCAAGCTAATATTATGTAGATGGTAAAAAAAAGATGATCTCATTCTGAGCAGGCTGCTACAGTTTACTCGGATGAAGGATAAACTGTTATGATGTTCGTTTTTTCCTGCCTGGGTCATTAAAAAGGAATCAGAAATCATTAGTCCCTGCCGCCTACGTCTTGTTTTTTTGTTTTTTTTTTAAAGCCTCTCTTATTTTCCTAAGAAGGCTGTTTAATGTGGCGTTTAGCATCATTTTCTTTCCAGCCTGCAAGAAAATGAGAAAATAGCAAAACTTGATCATTGATTAAATAATTCATTCATTTATCAAAAGGATTTATCTCTCCTGAGAATTCATTCCTCCACCTGACCTCGTTTTTTTGGTCAAATATGGCTCTTTGAGCAGTTTAGGTTGGTGACCCCTGCACTACCTAATTAAATACATGTGTTCATGTAATGCTTTTGACCCTGCAGTATGTGAGCAAGTAAATTTGTAGATGAATAAAGTATTTTGGTCAGTGTTGGAGTCCAGTTGTATATAAACCATCTCTCCTGTATCTGCAGCTCAGAACAAGCCCATCTGGATGCATGCAGAGGAAAGAGAGGAGATGAGCAGAGTAAGAACACATTCAATTAAACAAAGCTGTATGTTTGGTAGGGAAAAGCCTTCCTGGGAGTCTGAAGTATCATCCTTTTTTAAGGATTGCGTATCAGATGCAGAGGATATGTTAGTTGTGGACACAGAAAAACGCTGCCGATCAGGTTTTTAATCCGTCTTTCTCTCTCGTGTTTTTCTTTGTTTCCTCTCTGGATTATTTCCAGGGCAAGCACAGAGACAACACCCCATATGGAGAGTATGGTGGCTGGTACAAGGCCTGCAAAGTCAACAGGTGACACTAATAGCTATGTTTTATAGCTTAGTTGTAAAGCCTCCTGATGCAGCCTCTAGATGTAGTGCAGCCTTTACCAAACCTGATAGGTTTGCATTTGTCTTTTTCATCCTCTTGTGACCTTTTTAAGTAAATTTCTTTCCCTTTTTCATGCAGCCCTACAGTGAATACTACCCTGAGGAACCTCGGTGCCCTCTACCGCCGTCAGGGCAAACTCGAGGCCGCTGAGACACTGGAGGAGTGCGCTGTGAGGTCTCGCAAGCAGGTCAGCCACACCCTCTAATCCCATTTCTGCATGCCGCTTGCATACGTTCCTTTTTATTATAAATTCTGAAGAATATCCTTCATGTTAGGAGAGTAAATCTCATGGTATTTCTTTCCCTTTTCCTGCATTGCTATGGATCCAGAGCAACACAGTAAGTGCTTCATCTCTGTTGGCTCCCATTGAGCTTCCACCTCTCCCCCCTAACATCACTCTCATCTCACAATCATTTAAAATACTTATCGGTCTCTAAAAAAGTGATGTAATTACATCAGGAGGGGCAGGAAATGGGAAATCTCTTTAATTCCCCCCATAAAACGTTTTACTCCCACCCATTTTCCCCGTGCCAATGTCCGCATCGGAGCTTGTTCTAACTATGCCTGTATCTCTGCAGGGCATCGATCCCATCCACCAAACACGTGTGGTGGAGATCCTGAAAGATCCAGAGGGCGAGAGGCGGAGGAGCAGAGATAGTCTGACCAGCGTTAAGTACGAGAGCGGCTCTGAGACCGGCGAGGAAGTGAGTATGGGCGTGGAGTGGAACGGGGTGAGTACAAATCCACTATTGAATAAACACGCTGCCTCTCTGGAAAAACCAGCCGGTGTCAGTGATTCCACAGAGAGTCTGGGCTGGTACAGAAATTCACTGCTTCTTCCTAATGTCATTTAAAGATGACACCGGTGTAAAACATAGGAGGAATCATTCCAATTTTGGACCTTTTTAAATATGTAACATTAAAATATCTTTAAAAATACTTGATTGTATTCAATGTCAATAGAACCAGAATAATACATACAGGCTCATATAAACACATGCCTTAATATTTGTTTAAATTTCCCTCAAGAAGTTGCACTTTGGCTGACATTTTTATTTTTTTTTTGGCAGCAATTAACACTTTTTAAGAGCAGTTCTTATAGAATAAGTGACAAGCTTTTCTTTGTAAAGTTATAATTAGTCTCAAACTTCCAGGAAGAAAAAAAAGTTCAGATTGTTAGGATTATTTTCCCAGAAGTGTTCAGTGAATGTTGGTGCCACCACCTTGCTTGACAGTTGGTAGTGTTTCCTTAGGTTTGAACGCTTTACTGCTCCCTGGGCACACAGGATCAGTGCAATTAATTAGTAGATGGAAGGATGTGTTCCAGTAAGGCAAACACACAACAGAGCAGGTTTTGGACGGATAAAACTAACCAGCTTAGATCCTTTAGCACGATGAAAAATGTTTAGGCTGGTAGACGGCTGGGGTCCCTGCCATGAAACAAACCAAAGAGAGTATTTTGATGTCAGCCAGAAATATTTCAGAACCTTTTTGTTGGTTAAAAATACATCTTTTTTTGCCTAGATATTAACAGTGATGTGTCCATATGTCTGAGTCTGTATGTATGTGATTCCAACTCTGTGGAAAACAGAGAATCTAAAAAACTTCACACCTAGGGCCTTAAATTAAAAGGTCAAACACATCTTCAAAAGCCACTTTATTGAAATCTTGCCTTGATGATCAGACGTTAACTTGTCTCTCTCGGGGCTGAATAGGCTGCTACATTTAGCAGGATGCTAACCTCTGCCTCTGCTCCTCATACATGGATTGCAGTATCTCAGAGCTACTTAAACTCCGGTCAGCCCAACATAACCTGCTGTACTGACATCAATGTAGACATAACAGGCTTGATTTGGCGATTACAAATTTGTGATGCAAACTATGTCCACACAGAAGGCTGCCCAGCATGCAGTGATCTTTCTGTACCAGCCCTTCGACTCCCTGCAGTTAGGCCATGTTTTTGTCCTGGAGTTGAACCTAGTTTCAGCTGTTCTAAAACTCAAAAGCTGATTGAGTGTCTTGGCATGCTCTTAGCCTCACCGTTTGCTTTACATCACATGTTTGTTTGTTTTTTGTTGTTTTTAAATGAGTGGTTCTTTTGCTGGCAGCGCTTCTTTGCAAGTGAAACTATGAAAAAGGCACACGCTCAGTCTCCGTGGCCCTGGTAACATAATACATATCCGCATCCATGCAATCTGAATCCTAGATTGAAATGTCTAATGCAGTTTAAAAGGTTCATTGCACACACGGTAGGCTAGAGGGTTGATTCTCCTTCGACATAATGAGTATCACATGTCTGCTGATTGTTTGAAGCAGATCAGGACTTTTTCTGAGAGGTTTTAAAGGGGTTTGAGTCTATAAAAAAAAAGCAACGACAGAACGGGTGTGGCAGGTAGAAAAATAAAGCCTCAGCCTGAGCTTGTGCCTCTTCATTCACTTGGCTGCAGCCACAGCCTCAGCATGCATGTTCCAGCCTGCCACTCTCACCCCCTAACATGCACTAATGGACCATGTCTGTTCCAATGGTTTCACATGAACTGAGCTCTACTGCTTTTTTTTTTCTCAGCTTGATATCTAGTGTTGTTTTTTTAACTTCCTGAAGTTTGGATGCAAATAATTTTGCATTCAAAGTTGGTCACATTTGTTAGCTCACCTTGTAAAGATGTGTGAAAAGCCTTAAAAAGTAAAATCTGTAATTTAAGTTCTTTAATCAGTTGAGGCAGATGTGGCATATTTATACTGGAATAAAGTTTGAGCAACTAACTTTACCTTTATAGTTTTTTTCCCTTTAATTTAATTATTAGATTCCCCCCCCCCCCCCCCCCCCCCCTTTAATTTCCTTTAATTTTCGTAATTTTAAAGTTTACAGAAAAAAATATTTGTTTTTGCAGATAAGACTTTGACAAAGTTGCAAACCCTCCTTAAAATATATTAAAGAATGTTTGGTTACAGCAACGTTTCCTTTACACTAAGACATAATGGGTCTGTCTGTTACCTTGGCGATCAGATATGATGCTTCTCATCTTTCCAGAAAGTTTCCATTTTCCACCCTTTTTTTCTGTCAAGTTTCAGGTGTTAGTATTTCAGCCCCATGACTGACTCCCCAACCTACCCCTGCAGCAACCTCAAAATTGTAATATTGTAAAATTAGTCCTGAGTGTGACTGATTTTGATTTAGATCAGAGGTTCTGCAACTTTTGGAAGCTTGGCATGACAAAGTTTCGCAAAGGCCTGATTTTAACTTATTGATTTAAGCAAAGTGTGTTGGAGGTGAGAGAAACACTTGAGGGCTGGAATTGCAAACCCTTGCTTTAGTCCTGACTCTTCTGATACTGTCTTCTATTTAGTTTACTCCACAGATTTTATGTTGGTTTTAGGTTAGTTAGAAGATGAAGATCAAAGAAGGCTGGTTTTTTATGCTGCCTTTATTTGCCATTGTGCTGTGAATCATTAGCGTGATGGAAAAACAAGATGTAAACATATTTCTAGTTTTCTGGCAAAGGCCTCCTACGTATCTAAAATGGTTCCCAAGACTTTTGAGAGGAGGCAGGTGAACAGTATCAGAGAGGCTCTGGGAAAGTTGACAATTAGTTCAAGGCACTTTTCTCAAATCCTGCTGTAAAGTAAAAAAAAAACAAAAAAAAACAAAAACTCTAGATGTTTGCGCCCCCAAGATGTCAATGATTGCCAAGGATGGGGAGGTAAGGAGGGAGAGAAATGCAGCAGTCTGCTCATGTTGTGACCGACAGGTTTTGTAAAGATATTTTTCCCTCCACTCTTCTCAAATTAATTTTTTTGTTTTGTTTTGGTTTTCTTAAATCTTTTCCGTTCCCTGCAGCAATGAAGGGTTGGTTTAAGGCTTTGATCACATCATTATATAGGGTGCTTATAAATGCAAAACTACTTACAAACTTAACCCCAGCAAATCTAACAGCCTATATATTAATGCAAAAGTGGCTGGTCATTATCAGAGGAGGAGAAAATGTATGTATAGAAAGAAAATGTTCCTCACTATCTCGAAAGTTGGACCCCTTTCATTAAAGTGTGAAATTATGTCCATCCATTCGTCCATCCATCCATATATTTATAAACCCTATATTATAACTCAGCTAGCCTGGGTTTAAATGAAACGGTATTTACAGATCAGTCTGTTTTTAAACAATGCAACATTATTGGACTTTCCCTTTCAGGAGCTCATCAAGTCTGTGTTGAAGCAGTTTGGTAAACAGGTTGCTAATCCAGATGAGAATGCATCTGTTTCATGTCAAGTTTTGTTTATTTTTTAATGTGTCATTAAAGGCATGATCGGACTGAATATTGTATGTGTGCCTGCAGAAGCTTTGTTTTCTCACATTCAAACCACTGCTTTTTAAACCTTTCCTTGTTTTGCTTTTCTCCTCCCTCATTCACCACTAACATGTTTCCTCGTTGATTTCTCTTGCCATGACAACCAATCAGCCTGCCAATCAAATGTCCTTCTCCCCTTGGCAGTCAGTGGATTGTACTCTCCCTGGTAAAGAATGCAGGTCTGGGTTGGATGATGCATAGCGATAATTAAAAGAGCTTTATTAGCCATCTGTTATAACGATGAACCATCATTTAATAATAGTATTAGGGTTTACAGGGATTTGGATAGTTTGTTTGCTTAAAATGAGGTTTTAGCAACTCGCCGTCAGCATATTTGGTGCAGTAGGTGTTCTGCAGGTGTCGTGCATCTGCAGTGTGCACCCAGTTACTGTGCACTCTCTGCCCAGTTCAGGCTTTCCTGTACCCAAGGAGAAAATAGAAAGAGCTGAGTCACACAGACTGCATCGCTGATCTGACTGCAGGTTCTAGGTTGACTTCATTTTTTTTATGGAGAAATGCAGCTCCCAATGCTGCGGCAGTTTTACGTCACACAAATTTAGCATCGTTTTAGGGATGTAAATCAGATGTTTGCTTCCACGCCATCTGGAAATGAGGGAAAATATAGCATATTTGCTTTCAGTATTTTCCTGATATAACCTATTATATTTCTGTTGTATTTTTTTTCTGCAAAGTCAGGGGTGTATAATATTCATACTGCAGTCAGAATCACACTCTAGCAAATCAGGTTATGAAAGTAAAACACTCCCCTTTATTATAAGCCATTTAGAAAGCTGACAAAGTCTGAAAGCACTTTTTTAATAAACATGATATAATTTCTCTTTTTACAGAATTTATTCTACATAAATATTTTTTGATTGTGCAAAAAAAGAAACTACAGTAAAACCTAAAGAAAGAATTCAAGGACGAAATACACAAGTTTCACCAGGAAGCGTTTCACTGGATGAGACAAAGCCAGTCCAGAGAATTTCTAAATGAAAAAGATCAAGAAAAAGGTCAGAATCTACAGCCTGTGGTTACCAAACATGGGGTGCAGATAAGCATTTTGTTTTCAATGGCTCAAATGCTGATATTAAAAGGTAACCAGGTTCAATCTCTGCACCAATGTTACTGTCTGGATTAGGGCCAACACTGTTTAGATGGAGGCAGGATGAGGGACAGTAAAGACAAACAAAATTATTGTATCCCTCTCGGTTAGTTTATTTTCATACTGACTGGTTTTAATAGCTGTTATTTTATTGGAACTAAATAGTCACATCTACTGCAGGGTGTTTCATGCTGTCATAGAATACATCAGTACCTGCATTAAAACTCAGTTTATTTTAATTTTGTAATCCACTCCAGATCTGATGTAATAACATTTGGT